GCTGGGGGAGCTGGCTCCTCGCTTCCCAGCCCGCAGGCTCTGCTCCACGGCAGCAGCTCGGGTGGGCTTGGGGCGAGTGCTGGGTGAGCAGACTGCTTGTGGCAGCTGAGGAACGTAGGCAGTTTAGCAGTGTTCAAAGTAGGAATGGCCAGAGTTGATAGGAGTGATGGAAAATCCCCAAATCCTACAGGTGAGCGCCTTGGCCAGTGGAGTTTTGGTAGCTGGGGCTGTTTGGGTTCCATTTAGGACTCTGTGGGGACAGCTTGTTCCCCAGCATCCCTCTGGTCCTGGTTGGAACGTTTTTGTAGACAGGCTGGTGGATTCTTGCTCCTGCTGTGAATCTCCTGCACCATGGCAGTCCCAGCAAGAATAAGATCCTCAGGATGCAGGGTTTTTTCCATTACTTGTAGGAATCAAAACTGTGCAGCAGTGGAGAGCCTGAGCAGCTGGTCTGGTCTGTGCTGGAGCTCCTGCAGGTCAGTGGCAGCCAAGGACCCCCTGGCTCAGCATGTCCCACTCTCTGGCACCAGCTGTGGTCCCCAGAGCAGAGTGTTCAAGATTACCTGGCTCAAAATGGCAAATCGCTCTCCTGGCTGCTTATTGATGAGGTATTTTTAATCAGCAAATGTTAGAGAAGAAAAGAGCTGAAATACGCTTTGGAAAACTCATAATTGAAAGTGTGTTTTTAAACGGCTAATAAAATGTTTGTGAGGGGAGCTGTGTAATAAGGCCTTTTAAACCTCTCTGATGGCAGCCGCAGGGCCAGCAGCATTCCTGAGGCAGGTGCAGGAGGGCGTTGGGGGCATTATTTCCAGTCTTGACAGGAGAGTGAGCAATTTAATTACAGACAGCTATAAAATGGAAAATTCTTCGCAGTGACAAATGACTGTTGCTATACAAGGAGAGCAGGAGGTGGTGTATGGTTTGTTTACCAGATGATGACAGGGAGGTGCACACAAGGACCAGACAGTGGCTCCAAACCAGCCAGGACAGTGGGCACAAAGGGGGAAGAGTTACTGCTGGAATTGTCAGGCCTTTGCTGTCACTGCAGTCGTGTGGTCTCGCTTCGGTAATCCAGGTGGATAAAGGCTGCCAAGGAGCTGACAGCTACAGGAGGAGAATCACATACCCTAGGGGAGCAAAAGCAAACCCACGTGTGGATTCTAATTTGGTTGCTGGTGTTTAAATAAAAGAGGAAGGGACTCAGCACTGCCCCTGTGTCCTTGTCCCCGCTGCCAGCTGCCCAAGGAGCAGCCCTGCTGTGCCCATGCAGTGGTGCTGCCAGGGAGGGTCAGGCCCTTGCTCTGCTGCAGAGGCTCCCTCAGCTTCAGCTCAGCAGAGCTGACAGTGTTCAGAGTGGGACATACCTGCTTTCACCAGAGCCACCAGTTGATTTGCAAAGCTTCCCAAGCATCAAAAGCCATAGATGGATTCACAGGACTATGAGGAAATCCATTTTTTCTTCCTGGGGTAGCTCAGCTTCCCCCTTTGCACGGCCAGGGCCTGCTCTTTTAAGTGATGCTCATGTGGAATTTTTTTTAAGTGCGAAAAATAAGAGAGTTCTAAAGTCGTAGCTTCTGTAGGTTCCTCACACTGCAGTGTAACAGTTGCCTGGGCAACCAGGGTTCCCAATTGCTTAACAAGAAAAAAAATGCTACAGTGATGGAGATGCAGACGTAAGAAGGAAGGTCTGTGCTGGAGCCTGGTGGTGCAAGGAGCAGTGTGGGATGGGTGCCTCAGTGAGAGGCCCCCCCAGCTTTGGGCTGCCCTCTGCCAGCAGAGCAGAGCCCGGGGGGCATGCCTGGCCTCTCCCTCAGCAAGGGGGAAAACAACACAGGTAACCTCAGTGATTCTTCTGCTGTGGAGAAACAGGGTCAGTATTTCATGAGCCAGGTGAAGTGTGTGTCCTTCAGGCTCTTGGCAAGCTCCTTGACTGTCACCCCCGGTGCCAGCAGCAGATGTGAACCCTTGCCATGTCCTTCCCAGTGCAGGTGGCTCAGGTGGCAGCTCCTGCCCTGCAGCTGCCCCAGGCCTCTGCCTTACTGAAATTTCACATTTCGAAGGAAAGGTGATTGGGCATTTGTATTAATTTCTTTTATCAGAATTCAATTCTCAGTTGCTGTGGTGTTTGTAGTTTTAGGGTCCCCTCTGCCCTTTTCAGTGCTACCATTACATGCCCATTCTGTTGGAAAATTGCAAAAACTTGGGTATGGGGAAAGGTGTCTTGTGTGGTTATATGTTATTTTAAAGCATCTGGTTTTGTATTCATGGGATCCATGGTGATAGTGCTGACAGAAACTCCTGTTTCAGAAAAACATCCTGGGTGTCAGTGGGTGTCTGATCTTTCGATGTGCCAGGGCAGGTCAGTGACCACAGTCCAGTGACTCAGGGTTGGCTGTCACTCTGGACTTTCTGTTGACTGACGGGAAATCCTGGCACCTGATGTGGGCAGGATGATTTGCAGAAAATAATCTGCCAGGAGGCGGTGCCAGGAGCTGCCTGTGCCCGGGGTGCCAGCGCTGTCCACACCGGGAGAGCCACGAGGGCACGGGCTCCCTGTCCCTGTCCCTGAGCAGTGCTCTTGCCCCCAGGGACACTGCCAGTCCCCCCAGAGCCTGGGGGCGCTCTGCAGCCACGTGTACCTGCAGAGAGTGGGGCAGGGAGCTCAGAGGAGGGCAAAGAGGGCTCCAGTTAATCCCACCCAGTTCATTATTAGGCCAGAGCAGCTCAGCCTGCAGATCTGCCTTACCAAGTGAGCTCTGGTGAATTGCATCCCAGAATAGGTTTGGAAAGATGAGCAGTGCCTCCAGCCCATCTGCTGCTGCAGCCTCCCCAGCAGCTCCCCTTGCAGAGCCCTGCCCCAGCCCTGGAGGAGATGCAGACCCTGCAAGGGGCTGCCGGGAGCTGGCACCCAGTCAAGGGCTGGGACTGCTGGCACCGAGGGAGGCAGAGCCCAAGGGCTGGCCTTGGAGCAGTGCCATGTCCCAGAGCCTGTGGAGTGCCTGCAGAGTGACACAGTGAACTCCCTGGCTCTCTTGGCTGGGAGACTCCTCCTGGTGCTTGCTAAGGGTTTGCCTGCCTTCCCAGTAATTAAAAGTTTGTAACTAATTAGCAGCTGCCCTGCTCATACTTTGTGGTGGTGCTTTCCCCCAGTGCTGGGAGTCTCCTCTCGCAGCAGGGAGTGAAGCCAAAGCTGCTTGGATATGCGTGTGCTGTGCCTGCTGCAGTGCTGCTCCTCCTGGGAGCTGCTCCTGGTCTGTCCTCTGCCCTGCCTCAGAGCAGCTTGGGGAGATGCTGCAGAGAGGGACTGGGCTCATGTTTCACAGCAGGTTTAGCCTCAGCCTTCCTTCTACTTGCCTCTTTCCTGATGACATAGTGAGGGGCAGGCATTCAGACAAGTCACCTGCAAATCTTCTTGTGTGTTCAAACCTGATCTGGGAGCATGCACCTTCCTCCTCACCTGCCCCTCTGTCCCTCCCTGTGTCACCCACACCCTGTGCAGGGCAATCAGAGCACACACAGCATGTGACTTTTCTGGGTCAGGCAAAATGCTTTGGCTGCACTTGATAGGAAACAGACTTTAAAACTGGCCTGTGGATTTGGGCCTCAGCCACGTGGGGATCTCTGGGCTGCAGGTCAGGGCTGGTGCAGAGCCAGGATTCCAGGAGTCCCCATCCTTCCTTCCTGGCTGTCCCCATGGCTACCTCCCTGCAGTGGGCTGCTGGCCTTGCCCAGGACAGAGCTGTGGGGTCGTTGGTCTGCCTGCTGCCTGGTTTGGCTTGAAAAGCAACAGGAGAGAAAGAGCTGCCCCCTTTGCATGAAAATCCTCTGTTTTGAGGAGCTTTTAGCTGATCTGGAGGGAGAGGAACTGTCTCCATTGGCACACCTGCAGTGGTTGTGCCCTGCTAACACACATTGTTTGGCTCTTTTAAAAATACTTCCTTTGTTGTTATTACTGGGACAAAGGTAGCAGCAGGAGCTGCCCCAATCTGTGTTGCCTTAGGCTGCATTAAAGGCTGGCTGAGCAGGCTGTGAGCTGCAAAGCTGTGAGCTGCAGCACCAGCAGAACTGCTGAAAGGCGTGAGGTCAGGCTCTGATTGTACTCATTCTGGAGAACCTGAGAGAGAAATAAAGAGATGTGTTAGAGAAGACCATGGGCCTGGTCCTCTGCCAGGTGTGGGGCTTGCTTTTGAGCTCAGTGCTTGCCAGCAGTGAGGGAGCAGGAGCATCCGTGTGGGCTCTGTGTGGCTGGTATTTTCAGAACTGTGTGTGGGATTCAAATTCCCAGTGGTGAAACTTAACTTCAGAAAATGGAGAGTCTATATGTGCTTTTAGAGATTTCACTTAATTTTGTCTCTTATGCATATAGTAAGTGTGGCCCTGGGCTGGGAGACCAGGTCTCTGACTGTGCAGTGCTACACTGGCTTAAAAACTCACAGAACAGGCCTTGGAATAGTTGATCCCCCTGGGGGATGTGGTTTGTGTTTCCCTGCAGTAGTGCTGGGCAGTGTGGGACATTCTCTGTACTGTGCTGGCTGCTGCAGCAGCTCCCTGACCTTCCCAATGGATGGGCATTAGCAGGAGAGGACAGCAAACACCCTTCCTTCCTGTTTGACCCCAGGATTTCCCCGTGGTGCAGGGCTTGTTGGTTCTACCATCCACCATCTCCTCTAGGTCAGGAGCTCTTGCTGTGGCCTGTGTTGCTCAGAAGCTCACCAGTACTTCGGCTTTTTCCTTCCTTCTAAGCATTTCCATTTTGGGGGTTACCAGTTTTCCCTCAGAAAGCAGAAGGCCTGCAACTAGAGCAATACTTTGTGTGCCAGCTCTTGTCCTTCCCCTTCTGCCTGAATTTGGCAGTTGTAGATATAACTGAACACATTTTACACCAGCAAAACTGGCAGTATAAAATCATGAGCTGTGGACACGGGAGTGACCAGATTAGTGTAGGTTATTCTTGTCTTTGTTCTCATTATATTTCTTTTTCTTCTCTCCGGCTTCAGACTTTAAAGAGGAAGGAGAAGGAATACGAGCACGAGATGGAGCGGCTGGCGAGGGAGAAGATCGCTACCCAGCAGCGGCTGGCAGAGCTGAAGAACGAGCTGAGCCAGTGGATGGATGTTTTGGAGATTGACAGGATTATTCGACAGACAGTTCAGCCAGAGGATGACCAGGCATCTACCTCGACAGCATCAGGTACCCATGGTTGTTCTTTTTTTCGTAATGGTCTTGGAAGGTCATTGGAGTGGTGGGGATCTTCATTTAGCAGCATTCAGAATAAAGTGAAAGGTTTTGGAGGTTTTGTAATGATCAATGTTGTTAACAACACACTGCTGCTCATGTGAAGTAAACTGAAGCTCGTGCATCAGTGTCAGGCAGATACAAAGTGCAGGTTTGCACATCCCACCTGATTGTGGAGATAAATCCCTGCTTTCCAAACTTAGCTTTTTTCTTGCACAGCTCTGCAGCCCTGCTCATTAGAAGTGGGCATCCTGGAGTGTTTGTGTGGATGTGGGAGGGTGTTCAGCACATACAGAAGAAGGATTTGGTGCAGGGAGGATCACCAGAGCATTTGGACAACTTAACGAGCCTTCGCATTGTGTGAGGAGGATTCACAGTGAAGATGAAATTGCAGTAATGGATATCTGACATGAGGTTCCAGTGAGAAGTTTCTGTGAGACAGGAGAATGCATGCTTCTCTCCACGCCAGGGATCTGCAGCAGGAGGAGCAGGCAGTGTGTGGATGTAGAGCTCTCCAGAGACACGGAGGTGTAGCAGTGCACAACCATTCACAGCAGTTCCTTCAAGTCAGCATTTGCTCTTGACATGCCAGGCAGATGACATGGCAGGTTCTGGGAAGGGAAAACCTGAGTTTGTTCAGGCTCATCACCTCTGGTGGTAGGAGCAGGCTCCAGGTGTAGTCTGGTGGAAGTTGGGAGCTGCAGTGCTTTGTGCCAGCTGTTCCCTCTGCAGTGGCCTCTGCCGAAAGCAACCACATCAATCTGCTGCTTCCCAGAGCTTGTGAAGGGGAAGTGTCTTCCTTCTGTCTTCCTGTGTTCCTCTGCTTCTGTGTCTCCCGAGATTTTTATTCTTTGCTGCATGACTGGCACTAGAACAGGCAGTGCGGGGTGCCAGGCTTGTCTTCCTGATCTCAGGGCTAGTATATTCCTGTTTTGCTTCCTTAGTTCCTGGTCTGGACAAGAGTCCATTCTCCAGAACCAGAGGAGAGCCTTGCTGCCATGTTTCTTCATGGCAATGTCCTTCCTGCTCTGGGAGCAGGAGTGGTGCCAGTCAGTGGAACACCTGGCCAGGAAAGGAAACCCTGTTCCTCTTCCCAGAAGGACCCCACTTCAGCCCAGACAGCTCAGCCAGGTGCTTTGTGTCAGCCTCTGCTCATGGTGCTCCTCTTGCCTGCCCAGTGAGACATCTCAGCCTGTTGGCAGCACCCAGCTCTAGCTGGTTTTGAGCTGTCACACTTGCCTGGCTCCGGGTCCTTGGCCCACAGGCAGTGAGGAGAGGCCGTGCCATGCCATGCCATGCCATGCCATGCCATTGTGCCACCAGCCTGTGGCTCAGTGACACCTCCTGCACATCTCTTCTGCTGGTGCTGTCTTGTAGGGAAGCTCGTTGGTCCAGTTCATGCTCTGCTCGCGTTTTTATGGGAGTTTCTTCCTTTCGTGTTTTCCAGAGGGTGAAGACAACATGGACGAAGATATGGAAGATGACAGGCCAGTGAACTCATTACCAAAACTCACCCAGCGCCAGCACCCAGAGCTGCTGAAAGCCGTCCCCCCCAGTGCTGCTGCCCCCCTCCCCACGGTCCTGCCCCCCCACGTGTCCATCCAGCAGAAGCCCCACGCCCAGCCCTCCCTGCAGACGCAAGCGCTGGTCCCGCCGCAGGCGATCGTCCCCGCACAGACTCACATCGTGGCGGCCTCGACCGTGCAATCGACTGTTATCGCGCACACCGCCACCACCCACGCCTCGGTCATCCAGACTGTCAACCACGTCATTCAGGGGCCACAGACCAAGCACATCGCTCACATTGCACCTTCCACGTCCAGCCCCGTGCAACTCAGCACCGCCGCTCAGCCCATCGGCCACATCACTGTGCACCCGGCCGCCATCAACCACATGGCCCACCTGGGCCCGCAGCTGCCCCTGTACCCCCAGCCCGTGGCCGTCAGCCAGCCCGTGGTGAGCCACATCGCTCACACCATCTCGCACCAGCAAGTGAACGGCACGGCGGGGCTGGGCCAGCCGGCCGTGGTGGCCAAGCCGGCCGTGGGGACGCAGGTGGTGCACCACCCGCAGCTGGTGGGGCAGACGGTGCTCAACCCCGTGACTATGGTGACCATGCCGTCGTTCCCGGTGAGCACGCTGAAGCTGGCCTAGCGGGGCCGGCTCCGTGCCGGGAGCCTTTCCTGAGGAAACTCCGTACATTCCAAGCGCTGCGGCGCGGCAGAACGCCGGCGCTGGCCGGGCCGGGCCGTGCCGGGGCCGCCGGCGCGGGGCCGCGCCGCCGAGAAACTTCAAAGACAGTTGTCGATGGTGATTTTTTTTCCTTTTATGTGTAATGAGTGAACTATGGATATGATGTTCTTAAGACTTTTAATTTCGCCCTCTTACGTGTTGCTTCTTTGTAGAATAAAAATTGCTGATCTCTTTATTGAGACATTGCGTAGAATGGGAAAAAAAATCATAGAAGTCTATATTTATATATATGTGTGTATGTGCGTGTATATATATATGTATATACATATATATATAAATATAACATTTGAAGGCCTTTTGTAAGGTTGATTATTTTGCAGGATTATGAGACAAAATTCATTTTTGGAGGAAGAAGCCAGAGTGTCCTCTCTAAACAAGAAACTATAAGATAGATAGTTTGGTGGACCAGAGTACAGTGACAAAAAACCCCCAACAACAAACCACGAGTCAAACCATGTTAAAGGTACTTCCCATCGATATATTACATTTCAAAAACCATCTAAAATCACTGTGACTTGTTATGGCATTTTAAGGAAATTCTCTGTCCTGTCTAATAAAAGGAAAAAGAATACACAACCAGACTTGATTTGTCGGCATTTTATAAATTACTTGATTTTATGTCAAAACAATACTGGTTTTTATTATTTTAATGATTGACAGTGCTTTGTTTGGATGTTTTTGGGGGATTTTGTATTTTGTCTGGCTTGGTTTGCTGATGCAATAATTGGTTTTGCAGATCTCTGTGCATGGCGTGGCCCTGGTCAGGGTCCCTCCTGCTGGTCCGAGCTCCCCCCAGGTTTCTTGGGTTTGTTGTTTGGCAGAGGCACACGCTTTGTGCTGGCAGCTTGCAGGGCGTTTCTGTGGCCTGGTGAGTGGAACCTGGGACAAGAAGACAGAGAAATGAGGTGGATTTGCTGCATGGGTTAATGTTTGTTAGTTTGCTCTGCCCTGGCCACGCTTTGGTGCGGGAGCCGGTGGGTTTGGGAAGGGGTAAAAGGGGATGTGGTTCCCTTCCAGAGCGCAGGCAGTTCAAACAGCTGTGTTCCCTTTGCCAGGGAAGCAATCTCTCTGATGCAGGATGAGGCTTTGCTGCAGGAGATTGTGTGAGAGCTCGTGTCTGACAGTGAGGCGTGCACCAAAGAACCCTCATCCCTCCCTCAGGACCCTCCTGTTCCCCCTCCCGGGGCCTGGGGCACATCCCAGAGAGCCAGGAGAGGAGGAATGCTGTTTGGCTCTGCTGGAACTGCCAGCCCAGCCTGCCCGGGAGGCTGCCTGGCACGTCTTGTGCTGCTCGCTGGTTTCTGGTCCTTGCACAGGGTGTGTAGCTGCTGCTGTGAATGATCTCCATTCTGTCTTCCTCTTCTTAAAACAAGTATTCCACAGTCCTTTCTGCAGGCAAAATGCTGCTGTAGCCAGCAGCTGTTCTCCCAGGGCAGGGTGGGAGGATGCTCCCATGTGTGCCCAGGAGCTTTGGGAGAGGAGGAGGAGGAGGTGGCTGAGCTGTGTCCAGTGTGGGGCCTGGAAAACAGCATCCATGCTCTGCCCAAAAGACCTGTTGATTCTAGCAGGACTTCAGCCTGTTGAGGACTGCTGTGAGCAGTGTCAGGGATGTAATTGAGAACGTCTGCCTGCTCCGTGCTGTCCCCAGTTAAAACTGGCCTGGAGGCAGGAGAAGTGACTGCAGAGGTCAGGGGTGATTGTGCCTTCTGAGCAGGTGTCACTGGGAATTGTGTGAAGTCTGTTCATAAAGCCCCAGTTACCACTTGTTTTATTTTTCTTTCATGCATTCTTGAGTTCAGGAAGGTCTTGGCTGTGCTTGCCAGCACAGCTCCTGCAGAATGGACAAACCTTGAAGGATTTCTCTCATAGAACCCCATTTAAGCAGATCATTTGTTCTCATTCCAGTGCATCATTAACACTGGGGATTCCCAGAATTGCCAGGACTTTGTTGTCCTCTGTCCCTGCAGGTGCTTTCCCAAGGAGGCCACTGTGTGCCAGTATTTGAGAGAGAGGGTTGGTTATGGCTCAGTTTCTCCTCGTCAGAAACTCCTCAGCCTGAGTGTGTGCAGCAGGGTCACCTCCTTCTCAGGAGGGAGGGTGGCCTTGCCTTCTGCAGCAGCCTCAGGAGGGGGAGGACGTGTGCTCCTGCCTTTTTGTACCGTTCCAACTCACAAAATCACAAATTCTCCTCACTGAAGGAGAAGGAGCCAGGTTGGGAAGGGGCTTGGTGCAGGAAGGTGGCCAAGCCCCAGGGAGAAGAGCTTGCTGCTGGGTTACTGAAGGGGCTGTGCTGTGTGCACAGGGCTGCTGCTGACCTCAACTTCTACTCCCTTATGGTTTGGAGCAAAGAGTGCCCCTGCCTTGCCCAGGGCTGTGTCTTGGCCAGTTTTTCTTGCCCCTTGGAAGTGGGCCATGCAGTCTGTCTGTCTGATCCCCTTCGTGGGTGTTGGCCCCCATCAGGAACCCCCCCTTGGCCCGCCGGGGGCTGCTCCAGATATCCTGTGTACCCCTGTTCCCATCTGCCTGTGTCAGGGCTACCAGAAACATTCTTTGGGATTTTTCTTTTTGTATTTCAAAGTCAGCAGACTTCTCTGTATTCTGTGGGAAGAAGAGCGGCCACAGCCCTTCCTTTTCCACTTCTGTTATTCCTGCTCAGAAACTTTGGATTTACACTGATGCTCTTAGAAATCCCGTTCAGTACTGTATGACAAGGGGCACTTTAGGAATGTCTCTCCTCCTTTGATATATGTTTTCCCTATGGAGAAAGCTATATATAAATATATATGTACACTTGGGGATTCATAAGATCTCATTTGTCCCCCAAAAAACCAATAAATATGAAGTTTACAAGAAATCTCTTCTGTTGTTGAATAATAGTAGTTATTGGTAACCATGCCACAGAAACAATAGAAAATGGGGTTTCTGCATAGTAGTTTGAGAGGGTTTTCTGTCCTGTCCCCCCTGGCTTGGAGCCTGTTGGTCAGTGCAGGTGCCCTTGCAGCCCACACTCTCCACGTCCTGCTGCCAGCAGCCAAATTGTGCTCAGCAGCTGGAGCTGTGCTTGGAGCTCAGGCAGCACGGCCAGGGGTGTTTGCAGCTGGGCAGATGTGTGGGCACTGTGGCACAGAACCCTGGCTGGCCACGGGGAAAGCTCGTGCTGGGCTGTGGAGCCACTGCCAGCCCAGCCAGGGGGCAGAGAGCCCCAACTGCTGCTTTAATGTGATCCTGGAAGAGCTCTTAACGCTGACACTTCAGATACAGGAATGCAATCCTGACCTCACCAGTAAAAATTTGCCAGATCTGTGTAGTTGATCTTAGGAAGGGAAGATCTGATTTCCCGCGGTCTCTGCAGCTGCTTGTGTGGGATCCCAGAGGGATCAGCGGGTCCTGTGTCCCTGGGGGCACCGTGGGGGCAGCTGGGGACCCACATTTCACAGGGGGAATGAGGGCTGGAGCCAAGCTGCTGCCGTCGGGGGTTTTCTGCATGTGTGTGTGTGTGTGTCCATCTGTCTGTCCGTGCTGGGGCCGAGTGTTGGGTGTCAGAAGGGCTCCAGTGTCACCCCTGGCCCCTGGCACGGCTGGGTTTTGTTAGGTTGAGCAGAGCTGGACAGAGGGGACGGCCCTTTGCAGAGGCCTCTGCCCTCGAGGTGCCCAGGGCACGTCCTGAGCCTTCATCATCCCACTGAGCCGGCTGCTCTGGGGCTCCTTGTCTTTTTTTTTCTTTGTTTTATTTCAAAGTGGCCTTCTGTAACAAAAGAAACAAAAAAAATGCCTTGGGTGGTTAGGTGGAGGTGAGGTGTCGCTGCTGTGTCGGTGTCGGTGTGGTTGTCCGTGCACGCCTGCTAGATTCCTGTAGACATGCAATGCAAGGCTTATTGTGTCTGGTTTTTGTACGTAGCCTGTGTCTCTTTGGACTGGTTTGCATCCTGAGGGTGTTTTTTGCGTTTAAAGAAAAAACAGTGAGAACTGTTCCAGGCTGGGTGGGTCCAAGGGGCTCGGGGGAAGGCGTCTCCTGCCCCGTGGGATGATGTGGTCGGTGCTTGTTTGGCCCCTTTCCTTTCTGTGAGGGGTATCAGTGATTGTCCCCACTGGCAGGGGGTGAGCAGCCTTGGCCAGATGAACCAGGTGACCTCTGCTTACCTGAGCAGGACTTTGGCTCAGCCCGTCTCGGTTCAGGCACTCGCTTAATTAGCTTAATTAGACATGTGGCTGCTGCAGAGGGCTCCTGGAGCTGGTGTGGAGGTGGGCAGCTCTGGGCACTCACAGGTGAGGCTCCTCTGAGACTTGGCATGTTTTTTTCTGAACAGTTGTTCATTCCAGTCTTACTTTGATTCTAAAAGCTATGGGGGTGAGGAAAGGAAAACCCTCATACTTATGGCCTGTTTTCCATCCCTTGTTATCATTTGGAACAGATTAAAATGGATTATAACACTGTCTTTAGGTTATTTTCTCCCTGAGTGAAACATCAGTTGTTAGGAGCAGATGTTTAGTGTTAAGGAAAATAGGCTGTGGGTAGAATCAGTCATGGCTTCTTTCTGTCCCTGTTATACAGCACCTGATAATCCAGACTTGAACTATTAAAATAGCAGCCTGAGCCCAGCACTGGACGGAGCAGTCGTGGCAGAGGTTTGGCTGCTCCCAGGCTGGCTCACTCCTCACCTGAGGCTGCTGAAGTGAGGAGGGCAGGGCAGGGCAGGGCTGTTGTGTGTGAGGTTTGGTGGGAAGGGGCCGTGGGACGTCACGGTGCCCCTCGCCAGGACACGGCTGGTTCTGCTCTAGCTCTGGATGAGGCCCGTTGATTCACCCTCGTGCTCTGAGTGGGGATCTGAGTGTGAGGGAGCGCTGGGGCAGAAGCCACCACCAGGGAACGGCCCCGAGCCCCCAGCCCTGTGCTGGGCTCGTCCTGCCCAGGCTGTGCTGCTGTGGCCGCTGCTCCCGTGGAATGCCTTACGGATACGCCTTAACAACCTGAGCCAAAACGTGCTGGGGCTTGGCAGAGCGAGGGTCAGGGACGGGCTGCGACCACCCAGTGATTTATTGGCTTCTGGCCAGGCCCCAGCCTGGGCGTCGCTGGGTGAGGAGCGTGGTGGGAGCGGGGACCCCCTGCTCTGTCACTGCATGTGACCTCCCCCTCCTGCCTGAAGCATTTATTTATTTATTTTACCTGGCTGTGCTCCCCGCGTTAGGAATGTGTCACTGGAGCTGCTGCCATCGCTGGCCTGGAGCCCCCGTCCCCCCCTGCACCTCAGAGGAGCCCGTGCCGCGCTCACCTGGGCAGGTGCAGTCTGTGTTTACAGTGAGGACGTGTCACTGTGTTACCAATTTACTGAAATACTGAATATTGACAAACTAGACTGTAAAGATTTTTATGTGTTTGGATACATCTGCTACGTGAAAAAGCAACTAATTTTGTACATATTGTATTTTTACTATTCAGCTGTACAATACTGGCTCTTCATGCTCCAGAATTTAGGTATCCAACATGAATGATATCCATGTAATAAGCACTTGCCTGAAATAAATATAAAAATGAAATAAACATGCACTGAAATGGGAAACGGGTTTCTGCGTTTGCTTCCCTGTGCTTTGCAGGCAGATCCCTCCCTCTGTTTGTGACTCCCCGGTGCAATGCCGTCCCTGTCCCTCCCTCCCGGCCCCGTGAGCGTGTCTGGGGCCAGCCGGGCTCCGCAGGGACAGCAAACCTGGCAGCTTCAGGAGCCTGAGAGCTCGGGGAGCTCCCGTGCCCTCCCTGCAGAGCCCACCCCGGCCCTGCGGGGGCACGGGGGTCCCCCAGCCCCATGGAGCCCAATAGAGCAGCCCCTCGAGCCGGGACTGTCCCAGCCCCACCGGGGTCTCGGGTGGGCTGGGCTGAACCCAGACCTGCCTCACCTGGACCTGTCTCTCCTGCAGGTGCTGAAGCTGCAGTCCCAGGCTCTCCCTCTCCCTCCTCTGCAGCAGGGACAGACGAGGATGATCATCCAGCACGGGGCAAGGCAAACCCCAGCGTGGTTGGGGCAGCAGGTCAGGGGCTGGGGGGCTCTAAAGAACTGCACTGAAAATCACTGAGACTGTGCAAAGGAGATGTGGGGACGTGTGGGAAGGACAGAGGGACAAGAGGCAGTGTAAGCCCAGCTGTGGTGCTCAGGTGCCCTGCCCACCCCAGTCCCACTGGGTGAGTGCAGAGGGCACAAGGACACTGAAGTTTATTTAGGCCAACATGTCCTTGGATGCACTTCATAAAGGGCTGATCCCTATTGATAGGGATAAATACCTGATTAGCTGGAACGAGGGGTGCTGCACCCACCCCAGCACACAGAGGCCTTTGTTGGGCCTTTTCATGGTGGAATGGGGAAATGTTCCCCAAGTCCCCAGGGACTCATCTCCAGGCAGACCTATTTAGCCGAAAAACCTGGAACACTGCTGCAAAAGCTGCCAGCAGCAGCCAAGCACCAGGTGAGACTGAGGAGGGACCATCCCTGCTGCAGAGGAGACACAGCTGGAGGAGTTTACAAGGACTGGGAGTGATGGAGGAGGATCTCTCCTCAAAGTCCAGCAGCTCAGCTGGATTCAGTGCAGCTGCAGCACAATCAGGCCTAAAATTTCAGGATGAAACTCTTACTTAAGACTTGTGATAAGCCTATTTCTGTTCCTGGGCTGGGCTGGCTCAGGCTCAGCTGGTGGGTACATGAAAACTGCCCTAAAAGTAATTTAAGGGACCTCGGGAGTCTACTTAATGGTGACCTATTTATTGCCTTTAGCACTACAGCCCATGCAGCTCATCAGAGAGACATTAATTACATCTCACCCTGTCCTCCCAGACAGCCTCATCCCTGTTCCATGGCTGGAATCACCTCGGGGGGAGAGAAATCGCTCTCAAATAGCTCCATGGGATGCCTTGATGATAAGTATTTATTCATAAGTTACATTTAAACATAAATAATTGAGCAATAAAGAGAATAGTCTGCTCTCAACAAAAATAAATAATACACAACATTGATAAAATCCAATCAGACAGAATGTTCTAACAAATACAGCAAAGTTCACAGATTGGGTTTGTGTGAAACAGCTGTACAGAACATTCCCAACATACCAAGGAAAATAGTGCAGTATTATCTGTACATCCATCACTCCCTGGGCTCTGGGAGTTGGAGGTTTTTCTCACTCTTCTCATTCTTTTAAAAAATACTTCTCCAGTTTTCAAGTGAACAGACACCTGGGGCTAGGCAGAGGGGCTGGGGCACCTGGAGGGCTCCACAGCCCAGAGGGGCTGCAGCAGCAGCTCAGAGCCCCCAGGCACTGCAGCTCCTTCAGCTGGCAGGGGCTGGTCCTGCTCGCAGAGACCAGAGCCTGGTTTGTGTCTGTGGGACCCCTGGCAGCCCTGCAGGGCAGGGGGGAGCAGCAGTGTGCAGTCAGGGATCGGGGGAGCTCCCCATGGGAGGAATCCATGGCCCTGCACAGCCCCGGAGCAGGAGCTGCCAGCGTGAGCAGGGTCCTGCCCTTGGGCTCAGCCTGCTCACCTGAGCAGCACAGGGCAGGGCCTGGCAGCTGGGAGTGCCACAGGGCCAGCCTGCAGAGCAAGACAAAGGCAGCTCTGCTGGGCCATGAAGGCTGAGCACTGAGAGCCACTCAGCTCATGAGTGTTCTAGCTCATGAGCTCATCACTGCTCCCATGAACTGTGCCATTTAGGTTAAGGCCATTCTCCCAGCCAGAAACCTAATCAGCTTTAATCACTGCTAAATACAAACCCAAATGTTTCAGCAACATGAGCTCAGACACATTCTCTTCCACGTTCAAGGCAAAGACAGAGGCCAGGACCGTGCTCCTCCAAGGACACAAGCCAGTGCTTGGCAGCAGTGGGCCCAGCCTTGCCTCCATGGCAGCTTCTGGCAGAGCACACAGGGTGCATCCAGGCTTTACAGGTGCAGAAAGTCAAAATAGAAATGTTGCAGTTTGTCCAATCCCCCCTTTCAACATCGCAAAGATGTAGACAGATGTCTTCTAGAGAGGGAAACAGAATGCAAAAAAGATTTTGTCTAGAAATACAAAGTCAGTGTAACAAGGACTATCAAACACCAACCTCTTCTGGTGAAGGGAAAGTTCAGGTTTTAAAAGTCTGTTACTATCTCCTCACTATTTATTACATTACATGGAAGATGCAATTAAAACACCATTTGGAATTACAGTGCAAGGGATGCTCCATCCAGAGGCTCACAGGGACAGCCTGTCCATGGTCACTTGTTCTCAATCAGTGTCTGCACTTTGTAGACGAGGTCTCTGGCTATCCTCAGGATCTCTGCAGCATCGTGGTGCTCAGCCATTTCTAAGAGACACAGACAAACATCTTAACTGTCAGCACCACCCTCCTGCCCTGCCAGGATATTCATGTAGCATTAGCAATAATTAATTACTGTAACAAGCAGCAATCCCAGAACATTCCAGGGGCTTGGTTTTGGAGAATTAAAGACAGAAGAAGTGGATGAATCCCTTGTGCTGCAGGACCTGGGCTGAGACTCAGAGGTTAAATAAAATGATCATGGGTTTGTTACAACAAGAACTGCACCAGACAGTCTCAGGAAAGGAGAAGGAGCAAGGTCTTGTTACTTTTTATCAAAATGGCTCTTACCATTAAAAAACTTGATGATATCAGTGAAGTCCATGTTGTTATCACGGATAATCTCTCGATAAACTTCCACAAGTGCTAAGGCAATGAAAAGGACAAAATGTTCTGAAGAGATGTGCTTTGCTGCCCAAATAACTTCCCACACTGTAAATACATCCTCGTACAACAATTCTGAATGGGAATAAACATTACAAGAGCATCTGATTATTCAACTGACCACGTCCCTCCTCTCTCACCAATGTCTACAGGCCTTACTCAGACATGAACAGACCCTGAAGACTCCTCCCTTTCCTCTCCCCCTCTCCTGCAGCCAGCTCCTGTCAATGTGCAGGTAAGGCACAGAACTGGCTCAAGGAACAGGTACCCCAGCCTGGAGGTGGTGCAGGGCCAGCCCAGGAAGGTGCCAGAACCACGGGGACCACGTGAGAGCAGCACAGGAGGCCCCAGTGTTCTGCAGCTCTGAGCCTGTGTCCAGGTGTGTCTGGCTTTGCAGTGGGCCTGTCAGCACCAACCCTGCTGGAGTGTGCTTGTGCAAGGATCAGGGCTGCTCCCCACCACACAGGGCACCCCACTCCAAGTACTGCAGCTCCTGAGCATTGCTGAGCTGCTCCTTCTTAGCACAAGGATGAGACAGGAGGCATCAAAGCTCACAGACAAGTGGGATCACCTTCTGGAGCAAACAGGCATTTGCACTGGGCAGGAGCTTGGCTTCAATCTCATCATCAGGAATTTGCAACTCCCCTTTCTAAGCCTGGCCTCATTCCAGTGCTGTCTGATCTCAGAGCTGCCTTTCCTTCACCTTTCCTGGCTACAAACTCTCCAGTGATCCCAGCTGCCACTCACCATCCTGACACTCACTCACACCACAACACAGAGCACAGAGCTGTTCCAGTTCTACACAACCCTAAACTACAGGCACAGAACATTATTACCTCTTTTAAAGTCAAGCAGGAACCAGCGATAGCAGAAGTAAAAATGAGTGTAATCTCCATTCTGGTGCATCAACTCAAAAAGTTCTGAGTCCAGAATCTGGAATGGAAGACATCAGCTGTCAGGACGTGGTCTGAAAGCAGCAGAGGTGCTGGAGTCCCACCCTGCTCCTCATCCCGTGGGCAGAGGGGCTGCTCCCTGTGCTGTGTGTGCCAGTGCTGTGACCTCAGTGCCCTGACTCCGTGCTGAGCTGAGCACTCACAGCTGATCTCTGCCATGGCTTTAAAGGAACAAGGAACAAGGTGAAGATCCTACTGATTCCCAACAAGTGGCAAATGTCCATCTCCACCTCCCCCCCTGCTCTCAGGCTGTAACTCCACAAATCCACTTACAGCTCCTCCTGCCCAGCTCTGAGGTCACTCCTTGGAGCTCTTACCCTTCATGTGGCATCAGGCCAGTCCTGAGCCTCTGGCTCAGCCTTGTCTTCCTCCAGGTCCCCCTGACCCAGACTCACCTGGATGAGGGACCGCATGTTGGCAAAGTGTGTGTCCATAGCACCTCCGTTGGGGAAGTTCTGGCTCATCCTCTTCATCAAGTGGCTGAAGCAGCTGTAGGCCAGCTGATCTGCAGGGACAGGGCAGACACTCAGTGCTGGCAACTGTGGGACTTCTTGAATCAAAAAAACAGAACTGCAGGGCTTGGGAAAACCAGGCTCTTCCCCTTTGCTCTTCTCTGAATCCCAGGATTTAGATGAAAGAGGGGTTGGTTCCTGACTCTGGACAATTTTTGCTAGTTATGTCTCAAAGAATCCAGCCTGCAGTTGACTTTTCAGCATCAGCAATTCCCAGAACACAGTAATTTCACTAACTTTGGTAAAATTTAGTCTGGAAGTCAGTGAGTGACAGGGCAGCCCCGAGGTACTAATGTTAGCCATTTCAACAGCCACAGGTGGAGAAAACACAAATCAGGAGCTGTAGGTTTGATTTTGCTGGTGACCCAGCCCTGGT